TGGACAGCATATGGAAATGGAAGAGTTTAAAAAAAATTTCAAATGCAAATGCTTATAAACGCGGTTAGCCGCATTTACACTTGTTTACAAGCATTTGGCATTTGAAACGCTGATAAAATCTACTCCTGAACGCAAGATTTCTGTGTTCAAAAAAAAAACGACTGTAAACTCAACTGCCTGTAAATGACGATGTGTACATGGACACATAGGAAAACATTAGGGAGAGTTCAGGGGCTGCTGAAAAAAACGCTGAACAGATCCTAAACGTGAATTTATCAGCTGCAGTGTACATAGAGCCTTACTCATTTTATTGCCACTTATTTAAATTTTCCCAATATATGCAGTTTGAAGTGATGTACTGTATACTAGGCGTTTTGGAAAACTTGGATCTGGTTACAAATCAGAAAACAGTTTTTTGAGTTTTTACTGTATTATGCTAGAAAACTGTAGTTCTTCAATGGATACACACTGAATTCATCTACATCAGCGGTTCTCAACCTGGGGGTCGCGACCCCTTTGGGGGTCGAACGACCATTTCCCAGGGGTCGCCTAAGACCATCGGAAAAAACACATATTTCCGATGGTCTTAGGAACCGAGACACCGCTGCTGTCTCCGGCGATGTGTGGGCGGGATGATACGCTGCTCCTGTCACCTGCCACACCTCCGGGATCGCTCAGCAGCTCCGCCTCCTCGCCGCTGATTGGCCACCGGAACTGTAACTCAGGAGAGGCACACAGGCGGCCAATCACCGGCGAGGAGGTGGAGCTTGGAGAGGAGGAGCCGAGCGGCAGCGCGCGTAGATCAAAGAAGACCGAGGGAGCTGCCGGAGAGAGTGAAGAGGAGAGCGGCCAGAGAAGGAAGACAGCTGACAGGTAAGTGAGAGAGCGAGCCCAGGCTGGAGCAGGGGTCAGCAAAGTAAGTATCATTGGTGTCAGTGGGAGGAATAGTGCCCCATCATTTGTGTCACTAATACCAACGATGGGGCACTATTCCTCCCCCCACTGACACCAACGATGGGGCACTATTCCTCCCCCCACTGACACCAACGATGGGGCACTATTCCTCCCCCCACTGACACCAACGATGGGGCACTATTCCTCCCCCAACTGACACCAACGATGGGGCACTATTCCTCCCCCCACTGACACCAACGATGTGGCACTATTCCTCCCCCCACTGACACCAACGATGTGGCACTATTCCTCCCCCCACTGACACCAACAATGGGGCACTATTCCTCCCCCCACTGACACCCAACGATGGGGCACTATTCCTCCCCCCCACTGACACCAACGATGGGGCAGTATTCCTCCCCCCACTGACACCAACGATGGGGCACTATTCCTCCCCCCACTGACACCAACGATGGGGCACTATTCCTCCCCCCACTGACACCAACGATGGGGCACTATTCCTCCCCCCACTGACACCAACAATGGGGCACTATTTCCCCCCCCTCCTGACCCCAATGATGGGGCACTATTCTCCCCTCCACCACACTGACATCAATGATGGGGCACTATTCCTCCCACTGACACCAATGATGGGGCACTATTCCTCCCCCCACTGACACCAACGATGGACACTATTCCCCCCCCCCCGACCCCAATGATGGGGCACTATTCTCCCCTCCACCACACTGACATCAATGATGGGGCACTATTCCTCCCACTGACACCAATGATGGGGCACTATTCCTCCCACTGACACCAATGATGTGGCACTATTCCTCCCACTGACACCAGTGATGGGGCACTACTCCCACTGACACCAGTGATGGGGCACTACTCCTCCCACTGACACCAGTGATGGGGCACTATTCCTCCCACTGACACCAATGATGGGGCACTACTCCCCCCACTGACACCAATGATGGGGCACTACTCCCCCCACTGACACCAATGATGGGGCACTATTCCTCCCACTGACACCAATGATGTGGCACTATTCCTCCCACTGACACCAGTGATGGAGCACTACTCCTCCCACTGACACCAGTGATGGGGCACTACTCCCCCCACTGACACCAGTGATGGAGCACTACTCCCCCCACTGACACCAATGATGGGGCACTACTCCCCCCACTGACACCACTGATGGGGCACTACTCCTCCCACTGACACCAATGATGGGGCACTATTCCTCCCACTGACACCAATGATGGGGCACTATTCCTCCCACTGACTCCAACGATGGGGCACTATTCCTCCCACTGACACCAACGATGGGGCACTATTCCTCCCACTGATACCAACGATGGGGCACTATTCCTCCCACTGATACCAACGATGGGGCACTATTCCTCCCACTGACACCAACGATGGGGCACTATTCCTCCCACTGACACCAACGATGGGGCACTATTCCTCCCACTGACACCACGATGGGGCACTATTCCTCCCACTGACACCAACGATGGGGCACTATTCCTCCCACTGACACCAACGATGGGGCACTATTCCTCCCACTGACACCAGTGATGGGGCACTATTCCTCCCACTGACACCAGTGATGGGGCACTATTCTCCCACTGACCAGTGAATGGGGCACTATTCAGTCCCACTGACATCAGTGATGGGGCACTATTCCTCCCACTGATATCAACGATGGGGCACTATGCATCCCACTGACATCAGTGATGGGGCACTATTCCTCCCACTGACACCAGTGATGGGGCACTATTCCTCCCACTGACACCAGTGATGGGGCACTATTCATCCCACTGACATCAGTGATGGGGCACTATTCCTCCCACTGATACCAATGATGGGGCACTATTCATCCCACTGACACCAGTGATGGGGCACTATTCCTCCCACTGATACCAACGATGGGGCACTATTCCTCCCACTGATACCAACAATGGGGCACTATTCATCCCACTGACATCAGTGATGGGGCACTACTCCTTCCACTGACACCAATGACATGGCACTACTCCTCCCACTGCAAAATTACAGTTATGAAGTAGCAATGAAAATAATTTTATGGTTGGGGGTCACCACAACATGAGGAACTGTATTAAGGGGTCGTGGCATTAGAAAGGTTGAGAACCACTGGTCTACATTAACTTGTGGAAACACGTAATAAGTTATGACACTTTACAAGTTAACTTATGAAGCCAGAAGATATCTGTGAAATTTTGATAAAATCTGGGGCCCATGGGCTGATCTCTCTGATACTTGTGAAATTCCGGTTACCTAATCTGTTAATACATTGAGAGGGAGCAGGGCACATCTTAATTAGTCAGTTGACGCTTCCTTAGAACATGGTCTAAAAACAGAAGCATGCGTATTTACTGGATAGGTTTGCATATTTTATTTTGCATACACAAATGACATATGGACGTTGGTTATTCAAACCTTTTAATGGGACTCGGATTTGTTTTTTTCCATTTTTATTGTACTTCTTCTGTACTGTAATGAAGCAAACTGTCTCATTCTGAGATATGTTGTATCGAACGATATTCTCAAACTTCTTCCAACCCATAAAGCAGTTTTAATAACAAAAGCAAGCATTTATCATATTGCAGCTTACCAATTCTTAGATGTGTGATGGCTGCATTAGTTTCCTTTTTTTAGGCTTTCTTTCTTAATTTTCATCTGGTGATCCAGCCAGTGAGTCGTTGTTTTTCAACAGAAATGCTTTCTTGGAGTTACAGGGATGAAACAGACCATTTAACACTGACAGGGGTGCTTAAAATGATTAGCTTTTATTTATTTCTGTAAAACCTTTATACCAGAAGGAAAAATAATGTTTGTTGTAACTGACTATGCGTTAGCTGGAGTTCAGCTTCAGTTTGTTAGTGTATTTAAATCTGCTAGTATATATAACCCTCCCCTCCCCCCAGACAATGCTACTGTCCAAAGATGCCCCTGTGCTCCTTCATCAAGAATGGGGGCGCTCTGTTATAGGAGGTATGTTACTGGCCAGATCTCCAAGTAAAAATAGAGGGAAAAAAGGCCTAAAAAAAGAAAACTAATGCAACCACCAAATCTAATGAATGGTAAGCTGCAATATATTACATTTTAATTTTTGGCTTTAATACTGGTTTAATTTTTGTCTGTCTACAGATTTTTATCCTTAAACTTTTGTATGCATAGTCTGTACAAACAATATAGTGTACTTGCTGCATTGTTATATGTGTTAACCATTTAAAAAAAAGAATGAAAAAAAAAACATGCAAGAACAGATCTGCATCTGTGGTTTGTGTGGTCAGTTTAGAACAACAAAGAAAGGAGACTGGCATAATCAACCAGGTACTTCAGATGGAAGAAGTACATGAACATAACAGAGACTATGATCTATAAAATACACAAATGTGAACACACACCTAGAAAAAAAATCTACTGACATACAATGTATTTGTAGTAAACATTAACTCCCCCTCATTAGGATTAGATACTGTACAAGAAGAAAATTTCAGCAATGTTTAAAAATGTTTTTTTTAATTAAAGGCTAAGTTCACCTTTTGGAACATGTTACGTTTTACCTGTTTTTAGGGTGGATTATGTAACACGTTCCAGCTCCTGCCACCAGTTGCGACAATCCCTCCCAGCACCTGCTGTCACGTTTTGAAAACAGCAAAGCTGTGTAGGGCTCCGCCCACATAGCAGCATTTTTCATTCACAGTTTCCTGTGAATGAATAAACTACAAGTACCTTCATCCACCTGCTGGCCGCTTGTAGTTCTGAATGAACTGCAAGGGTGCTGATAAGCGCTCTCAGACAGCCTGTGTGGAGGTATGGGCAGAAATCTGCAGGACTTGTCTGCAGAAGCCTGACATTACCCTTGATCCACTGATCACAGGTGCAATGCTTTCCATGCTCCTGCAGGTAAAAAGGATAAATACACATTTTTTTTTTTTCTGCAAAATCTGTGCATTTATTATTTTTAACCACCTCCTGCCTGCCATATAGTAATATGACATGCGCAAGGTGGTTCTCTCATTCTGGGAGGACGTCATATGACGTCCTCCCATTCTCACCGCGCATGCGCGGCTCAGGGAGCGCGCAGCAAGGCGATCGGGGTTGCGCTGTGTCCCTGGGACACAGCGGATGACCGATCACGGAAAGAGCCGAAGATGTCAGCTCGATCATGTGATCAGCTGTGTCCAATCACAGCTGATCACATGTAAACAGGGAAATGCCGGTTATCGGCATTTCTCTCCTCTCGAGCGGTCATGCTGACAGCTTGAGAGGAGAGCCGGTAATTGGCTTTCCGCGGAGGGGACATGTACACTGATCATCAGGGCACTGATGATCAGTGTGCCCTGATGATCAGTGTAGCCCCAGCAGTGCCACCTGTCAGTGTCCATCAGTGCCTTGTGTCAGTGCTCATCAGTGCCTCGTGCCAGTGCCCATCAGTGCCACATCAATGCCACATATCAGTGCCTACCAGTGCACATCAATGCCACATATCAGTGTCCATCTGAGCTGCCTTTCATTGTCACCCATCAGTGCCAGTCAGTGCTGCCAATCAGTGCCACCTATCAGTGCCAGTCAGTGCCGCCTATCAGTGCGCATCAGTGCCGCCTATCAGTGCCTGTCAGTGCCACCTAACAGTGCCATATATCAGTGCAGCCTTTCAGTGCCCATCAGTGATGCCTGCCAATGCCCATCAGTGCCACCTACCAGTGCCTCCTCATCAGTGCCACCTATCAGTGTCCATCAGTGCAGCCTATCAGTGCCCATCACTGCAAACTCATTAGCGCACATCAGTGAAGGAGAAAAATCACTTATTTACAAAATTTTATAACAAAAACTAAGAAAAAACTTTTTTTTTTTTTAATTTTCAGTGGTTTTTTGTTTGTTTAAGAAAAAAATAAAAACCCCAGAGGTGATTAAATACCACCAAAATATAGCTCTATCTGTCACAAAAAAATGATAAAAATGTAATACGGGTACAGTGTTGCATGACCGCGCAATTGTCATTCAAAGTGCAACAGCGCTGAAAGCTGGAAATTGGCCTGGGCAGGAAGGGGGTATAAGTGCCCTGTAGGCTTGTGGTTAAAAAGGTGAACTTATCCTTTAACCACTTGCCCTCCAGAAGATTTACCCCCCTTCCTGACCAGGCCATTTTTTGCGATATGCCGCTTGCTTACTTTAACTGACAATTGAGCAGTCATGCAATGCTGCACCCAAATGAAATTTATGTCTTTTTTTTTTCCCCCACAAATAGAGCTTTCTTTCGGTGGTATTTAATCACCTATGCATTTTTTATTTTTGGCTCTATAAACAAAAAAAGACCGACAATTTTGAAAAAATAACCCCCAATATTTTTAACTTTTTGCTATAAAACAAATCCAGTAAAAAAATAAAAGAAATCTAATTTCTTCATAAATTTTGTCAAAATGTATTTTGCTACATGTCTTTGCTAAACAAAATCCCAATACGTGTAAATTAATTGGTTTACGTGAAATTTATAGCATCTACAAATGGCAGTATATATAATGTAATTTTTTTTTTGTAATATATATATATATATATATATACTTATAATGGCGGCGATCAGCGACTTATAGTGGGACCGCAGCGGGCATTTTGACCCTTGGGGGAACTAACGCCACTGACATCCCAATGACACTAATACAGTGATCAGTGCTAAGAAAAAGCACTGACACTGTACTAATGCACTACATGAAGCATCAAGCCCCGACCATTACAACCTTGGCAGACTGACGACACCAGAAATCTTAACCGACATATCCATGCGCTGAAGCGATTGTGTTGTAAAACCAAATCTCAACAAGCATTCACCCGATATAAATCTGCTTTCTTAACATACAATTCCTCCCTTCATGCTGCCAAACAAGCCAAACTTTGTCACTCTTATTAATACCTTGTCATCCAGTCTTCGTCGTCTCTTCTCTACTTTTAACTCTCTACTTTCTCCACCTCGACCCTGTACCTCACTCACTGCTCATGAGATTGAAAATCATTTCAAAAACAAGATTGATGCAATTCGTAGGGGCATTGCCAATGCACAGCCATCCAACCCACTTAGCATACCTTATACTAAACCTCCCTCAACACTTTCCTATTTTGACCTTGCTACTCACTAAGGTTTTCTCAGAAGCCTGTCTCACTACCTGCCCCCTGGATCCTGTCCCCTCACAACTACTATGGTCACCCTCTTCTTCCATCCTATGCTCCCTCACTCAGATCTTCAATCTTTCCCTCTCTACTGGTGCCTTCCCCTCCCCTCTAAAGCATGCACACATCACTCCCATACTTAAAAAGCCCTACCTTGACCCCACCAACCTGAGCAACTTAAGACCCATCTCCCTGCTGCCATTTACCTCTAAACTCCTAGAACATTTAGTCTACAATTGCCTGAGCTCCTACCTCACTGACAACAACCTTCTTGACCCTCTACAGTCTGGCTTTCGTTCACTACACTCCACTGAAACTGCCCTACCAAAACTCACTAATGATCTACTAACAGCTAAAACCAATGGCCACACTCCATACTCTTACTACTTGACCTCCTGCAGCTTTTGATATGGTTGACCATCCCCTCCTCCTCAAAAAACTCCACTCTCTTGGCCTCAGAGACTCTGCTCTCTCCTGGTTTTCCTCCTACCTATCGCAGAGCTCCTTCAGCGTTACCTATAATGCTGCCTCCTCCTCTTCACTCCCTCTTTCTGTAAGGGTCCTTCAATGTTCTGTCCTTGGACCCCTTCTCTTCTACACCTCCTCCCTTGGTCACTTGATAAACTCCCATGGCTTTAAGTACCATCTCTGTGCTGATGACACACAAATCTATCTTTCTACCCCTCACCTCACCTCTTCAGTCTCCTCTCGCATTACTAACCTACTAAGTGACATATCGGCATGGATGTCACTCCACTTCCTCAAACTCAATCTTTCCAAAACTGAGCTCTTAGTATTCCCTCCAGCCCGTGCCCCCTCCCCTGACTTCTCCATCAAGGTCAACAACACTATCATCAGTCCCTCCCCTCATGCCAGGGTACTAGGTGTAATCCTAGACTCCCATCTGACCTTTCAGTCCCAAATCCATTCAAATCTTGTAGACTTCACCCCCGCAATCATCTCCAAGATATGACTGTTCCTAACCTCGGAAACCACTAAGCAACTTATTCACTCCCTTGTTATATCTCGCCTTGACTATTGTAACTCCCTCCTCATTGGCCTACCTAATCTCAGGCTACCCCCTCTTCAGTCTACCGTGAATGCTGCTGCTAGACTCATCCACCTTACTAACCGTTCTGTATCTGCCACCCCTCTCTGCCAGTCCCTCCACTGGCTTCCCGTTGCCCAACGGATAAAATTCAAAACATTAACAATAATGTATAAAGCCATTTATAACTCTGCCCCAAATTACATCACCGATCTTGGCTCTAAATATCACCCAAACCGTACTCTCCGCTCCTCGCAAGCCTCCTTCTCTCCAACTCCCTTGTCTCCTCCTCCCATGCTTGTCTCCAGGACTTCTCCAGAGCTTCCCCCATCCTCTGGAACTCTCTACCCCAATTTATCAGACTATCGCCTACTCTGCTCACCTTTAGGCGATCTCTGAAAACCTATCTCTTCAGGGAAGTCTATCTTGCCCTCAGCTAATAATGGAATCTTCTACTCTTCCAACCAGTCCATCCCCCACAGTTACTACCTTTTGTACTACTAGCCCCTCCCTCCTAGATTGTAAGCTCCGAGGAGCAGGGCCCTCCTATCCCTCTTGTATTGAACTTTATTGTTGCTGTATTGTCTCCCGTTATATTGTAAAGCGCTGAGCAAACTGTTGGCGCTATATAAATCCTGTATAATAATAATAATACTAATGGCACTGGGCAGGAAGGGGTTAACATCTGGGGAAATTAAAAGGTTAACTGTGTGCTGTTTTACTGTGTTTACTGTGTGTGTTTTATTTTGGAAACCTGCTGCTGTGTATTTCTCTGCTGGCACGAGCCCCCTACCCGAAAATGCAAATCACGTATTTATACGTGACTTTGCACATCCCTGCTGTTCGCTAGCAGTATTTCTGCTATAGGGCGGAGGGCAACTGTTTAAGATGTGGAAATGGAATTGGTGAAAATTTAAGGTAGGTGGTACCTTAATTTAGCTGTGAATGTGGAAATATACTTTAACACCTTGTAAATATACTTTAACATCTCGGTCACACTGATCCGACTTTGAAATCGTGCGACTTCCTGTAAAGTCGCACTTTTTTAAAGTTGGATGGTATTCCGACTTGAGGTGCGACTTGCAAGACATCTGCGGCTTGCAAGACACAGATGTCTATGCAAGGCTCACCTAAAGTAGTGGATGCAGGACTAAGTAGGAATTGCACCGATATGACCACTGTAATTGCGGACAATAGGGTGCGACTTTCCATGCGATTTGCAAGTTGCATGGCATGGCAAATCGTATGGCAAGTTGCACCTGGTATGACTGTGGTGTAAATTACTGATGAAAAAAAATATATCTGCTACTACAATGATTTTTATAATAAATAATTGGGAAACCAGTTTAGAGGTCCTCACCTAACATGAAACTAGGGAAAATGTCTTTTCTTTTTTTTTATGGAGTGTCATGTTCAACAATTGGGCACTGCATGTAGTTCTCCTATCTTTACCACTTGCCGCCCACCCACTGTAATTATACAGCAGGCGGGCAGCACAAGCAGGCTAGATGACGTACACGTGCGGTTTAGGCAGGCAGCATGCCCCTTCTGTGACCGCTGTGTCCACTGGACGCAACGGATCACTGTTACTGGTAACCGAGTATCATGTGATCACTATGATTGGTCATAGAGATCACATGATAACAATGTAAACAACTGTCATGAATAGCTTTCCATTCATGAACAACTTGCTCTTGTGATTGGCTCACAGCAATCACATGGCACCTGGCTACCTGTAATATGTGACTAGCTGTAGCCAATCACAGATCACAATCAACAGCAAATTGTCCATGAATGGGAAACCCATTCACAACAGCTAAAGCTTTGCTTATACAGTGATCTTCGCAATAAGAGTAAAAAGAAAAATTCTAATCACCTCCCCCCACAGTAGTACAGTGTCACTATGCTGACACAGAGCTACACTGATGACAGTATGTAAAAAAAATAAAGAAATTGATGTAGCGCTAATACCATATAAACCCCACCATAACTAGCAAAAATGACATTAATAATAAATAAATTAATTAAATCAGCATAAATAAACCAATATGCACATAAGTAATATAAAAAAACATATAAAAGGTGATATATATAAGTGTAAAGATGCACATATTTAAATATAAATAAATCAATATGCACATAGATAATATACAAAAAACATATAAATAGTGATGCACATAAGTGTTTATATCACTCACACAATACACGTGCAACAAAGTGCCACATAACAGGTCCAAACTGGGACCAACAAATATCAATAGTGCCCCAAATGATCCTAACCGGATCTAATAGTGATATAAAACACTGAACAAGAAGTATATTGCAATAAGCAATACATAGTTATGGTGGGGTTTATATGGTATTAACGCTACATCAATTTCTTTTTCATGATTGGATGTTGGCAGCTTTACCTCCTTGATTAGTATATAGGGACTTAGTTAGGAGCGCAGGAGGTCTTTCACACATTTATTTTATGTAAAAAAAATAGTTAAAATAAATTAAAAAAAATGTTAAAAAATGTTGAAGACGTTAAATAAAATTGAATATGAAATTATTATTTATTTTTTTTTTTACATATTGTCATGAGTCAGTATCCTGGATCACCACCACATGGACGATATGATGACCCTGTACTGCACTGGTGACAGTATGTAAAAAAAAAAAAAAAAAATTTTGAAAAAAACTTAAATTTTATTTAATTTCTTCATTTTCCCAAACATTTGGACAAAAATGTACAACTTAAAAAAACTCGCCATGCCTCTTACTAAATACTGTACCTCAGCCTGTCTACTTTCTCTCAAAAAGAAGTAATTTGGGGGGTAGTTGTACTGTGCTGGCATTTTATGGCTTCAAGAAATTAGATAGAATGTGAGGACATCAGAACTGATCAATTTTCAAATATACTGTATATATCAGTTTGTAGACGCTATAATTTTCACACAAACCAATTAATTAAACTTACTGGGATTGCTTTTTTTACCAAAGACATGTAGCAGAATACAGTTTGGCCTAAATTTATGAAGAAATGTGATTTTTTAAAAATTTTTATTAGATAAGTTTTATAACAGAAAGTAGAAAATACTGGGTTTTTTCTCAAAATGTTTTTTTTTTTTTTCGTTTATATAATAAAAACTTAAAAAAAACAGTGGTGTTCAAATACCACAAAAAGAAAGCTCTGTTTGTGTGAAAAAAAATTATATAAATTTCACTTGGGTGCTTTGTTGCATGACCACGCAATTGCCAGTTAAAGTAGAGCAATGCCAAATAGCAAAAAATGGCCCAGTCAAGAAGGGGGTAAAACCTTCTGGATGTCAAGTGGGTAACCTGTATAAAAGGGACTGTAGTCCACATATATATCTAATAAACATATATTACCTGCATATTATGCAGAAAAATATAATTGCCAGGCATACATTTGTTTGCAAAAGTTCCTATGTGTAGGACAATCAATATAAATGGCATTGAATTTACGTTTTGATATGAATTCAAGTGCATCCTATTCTGGATAGGCATGATTGCTGTCTAACACAGCGCACGCATTGTTTGCTCTGCAATGGTTTCTATAAAAAGTCAGAACAAAGCAACAGATAAAAACTGCTGCTCAGATCCAAGTAGACTTTTAGAGGCCTGTGTGCTCTGCATAAGGGGGTGCACTATTGCCTTGGACACTCATGCACAGGGACGGACTGACCATTTGGAAACTCGGGCACTGCCCGAGGGCCCGGGGTCAGTAAGGGGGCCCCATGAGATGCCCCTGGTACCTTTTTCATAGGCTTTTTTGAGTTTGGACAGGACACAGGGGCCCCATGATCCCCTATTGCCCGGGGGCCCCATGAGTTGTCAGTCCGCCCCTGCTCATGCATACATACATACATGCCAGAGATATAAAAATATCTCTTGACGCCAACAGGTTTCTCCACACTTGTTCACGTACTGTATGTGCTCTGTCATTGTTGACATTTTTTTAAAATACAGCTTTGTGCACTTTGACAGGAGTAGAACATGTGGAAACGTGTCAAAGTGCATAAAAATGCATTCAAAATAGTTTGTGTGCTTTTGCAGACAGGGCAGGAATGTTTAATAGCAATCTCCTATGCCTGCTGTTTGTCAGTATTTTCACTGACAATAGTCCGGTTTGTTGCCGGCCCTGTAATTGTGTCAGCAGAGGCTTACATCTCTAAGACTAGGTTCACACCTATGCAGTTTGAGTTTGATCCATTTCTGCGGTGCTTTTTGCAGTGCGTTTTGCATTTTTGCTTTTTTGACGCATTTGCATTTTTTTCCAACTTGTTGCTGGGCAGATTAAAATGCAAAGAGGTGTCAAAAACGCATTACATGCATTTTTGCAGTGTCTCCATTGAAGTCTATTGAACCAAAAATGCAAGTTTTGAGTTAAAAAAAAAAGTCACTGATCCTTTCCAAAAAACGCACCGGGTGAAAACACGGAAATGTGAACGTGTCCTATAGGAAGTCATGATAAATGGACTGCTGCGCGCTTCTGCAAAACACAACGATAAACGCATAAGTGTGAACCTAAACTAACACCCCGGTCACATCGGGTGCGACTTGGCATGCGTTTTGCATGCCATGCGACTTGCAAATCATATGCCAAGTCGCACCCTATTGTCTGCAATTAGAGCTGTCAAATCGGTGTGGTTCTGACTTGGTCAGAGCAGCACCGGTTTCTAAAGTAGTACATGTACTACTTTTGGTGCGATTTGCATAGACATTTGTGCCAGATGTCTTGCAAATCGCACCTGAAATCGGCATCTCACACGACTTTGAAATCGTGCGACTTCACTGTAAGTCGCACGATTTCAAAGTCGGGCTTGTGGGGGATAAGGCTGCTTTCACACTGCTCTGGTGTAAAAACACATATGCATTTTTGCCACATTTTTTATGATTTCTGGTGTTTTTCTGGGTGCCTATTACCCAGCATGCACCTGTGCAACTTGGACACATGACTCAAAAAATGCACCAAAAACTGCAGGTGCGCTTTTTAAATGCTTTTGATGGATTTTCCATTTATTTTAACTACTTGCTTACCAGGCACATTCACCCGCTTTCTTACCAGGTCAATTTTCAGCTTTCAATACTGACGCACTTTGAATGACTATTGCGCGGTTATGCAACACTGTACACATTCGAAATTTGATTTTTTTTTTTATTTCATTTTTTTTAAGACATATAGAGCTTTTTTTGGTGGTGTTTAATCACCACTTTTTTTATTTTTTGCTAAACAATTGAAAAAAGACCAAAAATGTTGAAAAAAAAAATTTCTGAGTTTCTGTTATAACATTTTGCAAACAGGTAATTGTTTCCTTCACTGGTGGACACTGATATGCAACACTGATGGGCACTAATAAGGCTGCACTGATGGGCACTGATAGACGCCACTGATCGGCACTGACTGGCAGCACTGATGGACACTGACTGGCGGCACTGATGATCACTGACTGGGGGCACTGATGATCACTGGCAGCCTGAAGGACACTGACCGGCAGCACTGATGGATGCTGTTGGGACTGCACTGATGGACACTGTTGGGGCTGGGGGCTGCACTGGACTGCCTCTGATTTTTTAAATACACTTGCCGGGGCGTGGCTGGGATGTGAGCCGAGGTGGATGTGCAGCTGAAGAGCTCCAGTCATCCTGTAATTAATCCGTTGCCATCCGGACTCTATTGGGTCTGTGAGACCCTCTAATCTCCTTAATCTCTATCCCCGCCCTCTGCCCTTACCTCCGATGCCATCCAAGAGCCGTTCTGCCAGACAGGGACCCCCTTCCTGTCCCTCCCTGGCTCCGACCACACGACCAGACGCCATCTTGGTTGAGTAGCTGCAGGCCTTGCTGGTGGAGATGGACACGGACCCGGGTGAATCCTCTGTCCCATGCACCCCAATCCAGGTGGCACCCCCTGATCCTCCAATATCCCCCTCTGATGGTACATCAACCATTCTGGCGGCTATTGAACAGAGCAAAACCTCCCTCTTGGTATGCATAGAAAAGCTGGCAGAAGAATGTAATTGAATTTGCTCTGATTTGGATAAATTTAAAGGACGTATCACTGAAATTGACTCCAGGTTCTCTATTACAGAGGATCTCACTGCAAATCACGCCACTTCTATAGCTGATTTACATTGTTCAGTGTCCGCTCTGATGGCCAAAGCAGATGATGCCGAAAATAGACTTAGACGGAATAATGTCAGGATACTGGGTCTTCCTGAGGGTGCGGAAGGTGAGAAGTCATCAGAATTTGCAGAATTCCTGGATCCCCTATCTGTTTCTTCCACTTATGTGGTGGAAAGGGTGCACAGGGTATCACCTGGCCGCAATATACCAGGTAATAATCCGCACCCATTCCTGGTGCGTTTCCTGAATTACCACAACAGAGATATCATCCTTTCAGAGGCCAGGAAATGCCCAGCTTTACAATTTGGAAATGCTTCCATTATGTTATTCCCAGATTTTTCAGCCGAATTACAGAAGAAAAGGAAAATGTTTACGGATATTCGCAGACGCCTTTGTGACAAAAATATCAAATCCAGTATGTTATATCCCAGTCGCCTTCATGTGCAGTATGAGGGATTCTCCCCTTTTTTTGACTCCCCTACTGAAGCAGATGGATGGCTTTCTACTCTGCGGTAACTAATGGTTTTCTGAGAAGTCATGCCTGTTTGTTTGCACTACTTTATATTCTGCCTTGAGTTATCTCCACAAAGCCTCACTCTCTGATAACGGACATTCTCTCTTCCTGGATTACCCTATTGGTGAATATCCTGTTTTTTATCAAGTTTTTTATCAATAGCTACAAGTTGCTATTGTAGGGAAGGACTTTAAGTTCTGTTAAGGGTATAAAACTGACCAGTCAGTTGTTGGGGTTACCGGTACAAGTTACAAGTATGTTTAAGTTTGTTTATGACAACTGTATGCTCCTTAGATTTCTGGTGTCGCGTGATTTGAGATTTTTGTGGTTAGTGAAGAGTTCTGGTGGCCCCTCTCGCAGGTTGATGGCCTTTTTCCCTCTATTGGCCCTTCCCTTCACTTCCCTTTTTTGCTCACTTGGTTGGTCTATGGCCCTCCTTCCATTTTTTTTCATCTTGGATATTTTATGGAGCTTAGAGTGATCTCATGGAATGTACAAGGTTTAAACGATAAATTCAAACAGTCCCTAATGTTCAAATTTCTCACAAACCACATATTCTTTTTTTGCAAGAAACTCATCTCCTGGGTAGTAAAATATTATCCCTCCATAGGGCCTGGGTACAACAGGCTTTTCATGCCACGTATTCTAGTTATGCGAGAGGGGTTGCTATACTCTTGAATAAATCCTTACAGTGTACTGTAGTGCAGGTATGTTTAGATCCTGGGGGCAGATTTATTATTTTAATCCTAGAGATTTGCAAAGTGAAATATGCTTTTGTCAATGTTTATTTGCCACCACCTTTCTCTGCTGAGGTATTATATAAGGTACAGGAGAGGCTGGCCCTGATGCAGTCACCGATGTAATTATTGCTGGAGATTTTAATATGGTACTTGATGTCTCTTTGGACTCCTTGAACCCTAAGAGGACTATCTGTCCGGACTTGGAGATATGGTCCCAAGCATTTGGTTTGACTGAGCTGTGGAGGCTTCAACATCCTGGGGTACACTACTACTCATGTTTCTCGGCAACTCATAGGTCGGCCTCTCGAATTGACCTTGCATTTGGATCTCGTTCATTCTCCAAATCAGTGAACAAAGCTGCTTACCTACCTGCAGGAATCTCTGATTATTCCCCACTGGAGTTGTCGTTGAGGTTGGGAAGCGGGAAACACCCGGGATGTTGGAGACTGGATCCTAAGTGGATTCGCAATGAAAAAGAACAAGAGTTGTTATCTGGGTCCTGCTCTCAGTTTTGGGAAATTCATGTCCAGTCTACCTCCCCTCTGCTAGTTTGGGATGCTTTCAAAGCTTATATGCAAGGTCAATATATCACGGCCATTAAAACAGTAAGGAAGGATTTCACCAGCACCACTTCAGTGTTGGAACTTAATGTTGCCAATATGGTTTCTAAGTTCGTGGACTTTCCTACTGAGGACAATTATGCCGGGTTGGCTGTGGCACGCAGGGAGCTGGAACTACAGTTTATGTCCCTGTCCCATGCGGATGCAGTGCTTCTCATGGGCAGATTGTTTGAATCTGGTGATAAGAATGGCAAACTGTTGGAAAATCTAGTGGCTAACTCTCATCAACAGACAATAACTCCCCGACATTTGTCCTCTATGGATGACCTCCTTTTAGAGCAATCTCATTTCCTGCAGGAATTTAGAAGTTATTTTTAGTTTTTTTATAGTCCTCGCCCCTCTCCAGATCCCATGGTCTTGGGGGATAGATTGGGGAGCCTTTCCTTGCTGTGATTGTTGGAAGATGAAGCAGCTGATCTTGACAAAGAAATCCCCATCCCTAAAACTGAGGCAGCTATCCGTTCATTCCCGCCCAATAAAACCCCTGGGCCGGATGGATTTGCCTGGGGACTGGTATAAATTATATATTTCAGATCTGGCACTGCATCTTTATGATCTCTTCAGGGAAAGTTTGGCTCAGGGTGTCCTCCCCCCCTCCATTTATCAGGCACACAGTGTCTTGATACTGAAACCTGGTAAGGATCCTCTACGCTGTTCCTCCTATAGACCCATATCACTATTGAATTATGATTTAAAAATTCTGACTAAAATTTTAGCACAGAGGTTGAGGAAACTCCTTCCTTCTCTCCTAAGTATAGATCAGACTGGGTTTATCTCTGGGAAATCTACTGATATTAATTTGCGACGCGGTTTGTCACATATTCAATTCCCTTCGGCGGAGTCATCCTCCTGGGTGATGGTAATGCTTGACGTTGAAAAGGCGTTTAACTCTGTTGACTGGATTTATATGTCTAAAGTATTAGAGTTGATGGGTTTTGGCCAACATTTTAGTTCCTGGTTAAGCATTCTATAAAGTTATCCCCGAGCCCAGATCAAATTAGGTGGTGACCTTTCTGACCCCTTCCCTGTGGGTAGGGGGAGGAGACAGGGATGCCTTCTTTCCCCTGCCCTCTTCGCGTTGGTTATGGAGTCTTTGGCTCAGGCTTTGCGTATGTCCCCTGAGATTCAGGGCATACAGGTGGGCACTATTACTGAGAAAGTGGCTCTATACGCATATGATTTGGTGTTATTTTTCCATGACTCAGGCCCATCCCTTAAGGCGGTCTTGGCCTTGATTTCTGATTTTTCACCATTATCGGGGCCAGGGGCGGACTGACAACTCATGGGGCCCCCAGGCAAAAGGGGATCAAAAAAACTCAAAAAAGCCTATGAAAAAGGTACCAGGGGCATCTCATGGGGCCCCCTACTGACCCCGGGCCCTCGGGCAGTGCCCAAGTTTCCAAATGGTCAGTCCGCCCCTGATTGGAGCTAAAGGTTAACTGAGATAAATCTCAAATTCTCCCTATAGGCCAGGGTGCTAAAACTTTGCTTGACCCTGACACCCCCCTTGCAGTGGGCCTCCATAGTGAAGTATTTGGGTATTATGGTCTCATCAAACCCCTTAGATTTCTGTAAGCTCAAATTATTGCCATTACTCTTGAGGGCGAAGCAATGTATGGCGGCATGGACTAACTTTCCATTCTCCCCTTAAGATTAACTTAGTCAAAATGAAACTCCTTCCCTCCTTCTCTATGTACTCCGACATACTCTGGTTTGGATTCCACGGAAATACTTTAACAGTTTGATGCAGCAGTAGTCCTCTTTCCTGTGGGGTTCGAGGCAAAATGAAACCTTCCTCCTTAACTTAGTCCTCCTTCCCTTTCTCTATGTACTCCGACATACTCCGGTTTGGATTCCACGGAAATACTTTAAACAGTTTGATGCAGCAGTAGTCTCTTTCCTGTGTGGTTCGAGGCAGCCAAGATTGCCCCGATCTATATTCTTATTACCTCGCGGTGTTGCTTTCTCATGCGCACAACTGGATAGTGGCTGATGAGACCAATGCTGCTGTGGTATTGGAAGCAGCTTTCATGGGCTCTTATGAAGCCTCCATAACCTACTATATAGGGGCCCACACCTTCTCCCATTACAATGGCTATGAGAGCAGTCCTTAAGGCCTGGCAGTTGCACTTTCCTATAGAATCCCTAGTTTGGTCGCCCCCACACCCTATTATGGCTGAACCCCTTAGTAAAAGAATTCTCTCCTCCCTGACCCCCAGGTTTGGGCGTCAAAGAATGTTAAGTATTTACAGCAGATCTGTGAGGGTGGCACGCTCAGAACATTTGATTCCTTAAAAGCTCATTATGCTCTTCCCAACTCCAATTTTATTAGATACATTCAACTACATCAAGCTTTTCATTGACAATTTCAGGGTGGCCCACTACAGTTCTTGGAGTCAGGGTGTGAAGCCATGCTATGGGATGATTCCCTGAAGAAACCCCTCTCCTCTATTTACAAAGACTTGCACCCATCAGTCCATGTTGGTCTTGAGCACCGTTTTGTGCAATGGTGAGTGGAGGTACCTGATTTGGACTCTGAGGATTGGGAAGACATATGGGAGCAT